GAGCTCAGTGCTTATGTGTGAAAACCTGTTAATACATAGTAAAAAGTGAAACTGTTTAGTTAAAACTTGTGCTTTGTAACGTTCAGTATGGCCAGAAATACAGGCTGCATGCCTTGGGGGAAAACTTTATTTCAATTTATATGCATTTGTTTAATCCGAACAAAGCGATTTAGAATAAAACTCAGAATTGTGAAAAAAACCAAAAAAGTCTCGCGATCCCCCAAAAACGCACTCCACTCCCAACATAAAAACTCTTTTTCTCCAAAAAACCCCCGATAGGGTTCCCCCTCTATTCCCAAATTCCTTATATTCGACAACAGGGGAAAAATCCTGGAAAAATCCTTAGTCTTTTGTCCCTCCGCGGATCCTACCCCATCCCGCACCGCGGCTCCCAACATAAAAAACTCTTTTTCTCCAAAAAACCCCGATAGGCTTCCCCTCTATTCCCAAAAAACCTTCCTTATGTTCGAAAACAGGGGAAAAATCCTCAAGCAAAAACTCCTTAAAAAAATCCTCTGCGTTTTCTCCAAAAACACCTGAAAAAAACCTTCGTCCTTTGTCTCAAATTCACCCTGATCCTTAGACTAAATAACCAGGGGGGAAAACTCCTGAAAACCCTGCTACCCCTTTTATTCCCAAAAACCTTATATTTCGGAAACAGGGGAAAAATCCTGCTTAGTCTCTTTTCTTCAAAACGATCCCTCTTACCAGCTAAGTTCTCCCTTTCCTCTTATTTGATCCGCTACCAGAGCACAATTTGTTCCTGCTTGCTCGCTCCTGGCTCAAATTGCGAATACTGCTTACCTAGTTTGAAAATTTCCGCCAGAGACCAACTCCGCCTAACTTAGCCCCGCTGCCAATCACAGAACAATGGGGCGGCTCCCTTCGCACCCCGGTTAGCCAATCGGCTCCAGGTCTGATTTTTACGATCTCCCGCTGAGGTTAAGACTGCCGGCGCTCTCCCACAAGACTTCTGACTTCAGGCATACTAACAACTGGCGCCGCTCAGGCTGCTTGCGAATTCGCAAAGGACCCACCGATTTCGACAACAGCTGGCGCCTTTTTCCTTATATCCATATCAAAACGGTGAGTTTTACACTTTCCTTTTAACGATTTCTCTCAAAAAGCTTTTTCATCTTCAAAAGACATGCAAATAGGCTCAGTAACACCTGTAATACACTTTTTAAAATATATATAAGCTAGCCTCTAACCCTCTGAGCTGAAAGTGTTTTAGTACACAATACCAGCCAAAAAACATGTCCTCCTCAGGTACCTTGTTTTTCTTACTCTTGCTCATATAATGTTTATATTTTACTGTTTTTCCTGTTTTTTAAATACTCGTTGTTATTTCTTTTTAGACTCTGAAATAAGTGTGCTCAACGCCTCTCTTTCTGACTCTCTCGATCAAAATGGTATGGTTCATTCTTGTTCTCACTCTTAACAGCTATTTGTGTTAGAAAAACAAAACATTTACCCTCTTTCCCGTTTTTCTCAAACTTTCCAGATCTAGCAGACTTTGAGAGGTTTCTTTTTTCCAGTTCGCCGAGTTTGTCTCCGCCAGTGCTCCAACGCTCGACTGGAAAGAATATACGGCTATCGACCCGTGAAAGACAAGAACTGCTTTCTACGCTGGGTCGCCCTGCTTCTTGTT